GAAAATACTTAACAATTTTTAGACTTTCAGCTTTATAGGGGTTATAAGGAATTTCCATAGTATGTGTAAGAAAAAAAAAAACCCAACTCTGTAGAAGGGCTGGGTTTTTAGCTCAGTGACTCAAGTGCTCAAGCTACATGTGAGTCTGATTCCTGGTACCAAAAACAAACAAACAAAAAAACAATTAACCCCCCTACCCGCAGTCTGTATTTAGGCACCCAAGGCTCCCAGTTATCATTTCCCCCTCAGGCCACAGCTCCTACCTTACCAAGATGGGCTCCATCTCCAGTGTTCCCCCTGCCCAGAGGACGGCGGCAGGCAGTCATTGCCTCTATAGCCATAGCCATTTTTTTCTTCCTTTAAAGAAAGTTGGTGCAGTTCCCACGGCCCTGAGCCTAGTGCTGTAGCTTAGGTGAATCAGCAATTTAAAAGCTCAGCAGGACCCTGGTGGAGTTCATGCTGCAGCAAGCCTGCTGGGCTTTCACCCCTCTGCCCACTCATCATGGCCTGCAGGGGTGTGCAAACACCAGCTCCATGGTATGGGTCCCTATGAACCACCCTTGGCACCAAGTCTGTCCTGCTGCACTGAGAAGGGCCGGGCCATGCCATCTCAGGAAAGCTTTCCATCCCTCAGCATCCCCACTGTTTGGTGGAGCTGTTGTTTCACCATCTTTTTCCCACTTAGGACTTCATTTTAAAATAGTGCTCCAAATCATATCCTTTGTGGTCATCGCAACAAACTTATGGCCATTAAAGCACTCCTTAATGCAAAACCACAAAAGTAAATACAGGAATCAAGAATACAATAAACATTCCATATACATTTGTAGCTCTTGAGAATCTGTTAGCCCCATGTTTTACACCTGATAAAATCAATATGCCTCTCTCCCTTTTGTTTCTTGTTAGTTTGTTTTTCTCCTTGAGCATAATGAGCCTGTTTTTCTCTTGACAAGTTTTACACCTGATGATATCAAAATCAGTACACCTTTGTAATTAATATTGATTCTATCAATGCACTTCTCCCCTCTTCTTTTGCATGCACAGTGCATGCACATTCTCCTCTTTCACTATTTTTTCTTACCATGGTCTCTGTTCAGGTGCCAATATGCCATGTCCAGCACATCTCTCAGAGTTCCCGGGGAGAGGGCTGGTGAGAAGATGGAGAAGTAAAGATAAGAGAAAGACACAGAAAGCTAAGGCCAGGTGGAGCCCGCTCTCTGACTGAGAGGAAAAGGAACTGCTCAACCACAACAGTACATTTAATAATACATTTTGCAGGTCAATGTCATGTGACACCCTTTTGCCTAGGAAAGTCAGCCTGCAGCAGCTGGTTTACATAGCCTGCCTTGGACGCTGTTGGCACTAGCCTTCCCTCACTGCATTAGTTTTAGCCACTCCCCAATACAAGTGGGATTCATCCCAGGAATACAAGGATGGTTCAGCATACATGTATCAATAAATGTAATATACCATATCAATAAAGCCAAAGACAAACATCATATGATCATCTCAATAGATGTTTCTGACAAAGCCCAGCACCAATTCATGACAAAAAACAACCCTACAGAAAATTGTAATAGATGGTCTTTATCTCAATCTGATAAAAGCTATCTATGACAAACCTACAGGCAACATCATACTAAATGGACAAAAACTGAAAACTTTCCTTATAAAGTCAGGAACAAGATAAAGATGTCCACTATCATCACTCTTATTTAATATAGTTCTAGAAATACTAGACAGAGCAATTAGACAAGAGAAAGAAATAAAATGAGTAAGGATAGGAAAGAAGTTAAATTATCTTTATTCACAGATGACATGATACTCTACATAGAAGACCCCAAAAACTGCACCAAAAACTTCTAGATTTAATACCCACATTCAGTAGCATAGCTAGATACAAAGTCAACACTCAAAAATCAATAGTATTCTAGTAAACAAACAACTTACTGAGAGCAAAATTAGCGAAAAAACACCCTTTGCAGTAGCATCCACAAAAAATTACATACTTAGGAATCAATCTAACAAAAGAAGTAAAAGATCTATATATTTAAAATTATAGTACTATTAAAAAGGTGATCAAAGAGGTTATCAGAAAATGGTAAGATATCCCTTGCTCATAAATAGGAAGAATCAACATAGTGAAAATGGCCATACTCTCAAAATGTGGCATAAATTTAATGCAGGCCAGGTCAAAATACCATTAACATACCTAACAGATCTAGAGAAACATTCCTAAAATGCATTTGGAAACAGAAGAGACCTAGAATAGCAAAGGCAATCCTGGGCAACAAAGGCAAGGTAGGAGGCATCTCAATTCCTGACTTGAAATTATACTACGAAGCTACAGTGTTAAAATCAGCATGATACTGGCAAAAAACATACTTGAGGACCAGTAAAACACATTAGAAGATACAGACACAACTACAAACGTACTCAGCCACCTTATCTTTCAACAAAAGGGCCAAACATATTCACTGGAAGAAAGATAGCTTTTTTTAATAAATGGTGCTGGAAAATCTGGCTCTGTATATACTGAAGATTAAAACTAGACCCATGTCTATCACTAGGCACTAAAGTAAAGTCAAAATGAATCAAATGTCTAAATATTAAAGTAGAGACACTAAATCTCCTGGAAGAGAAAATATGTATAAATCTTGATGATATTATAAGCATCGAGAGTTCATGAACAAAACCCTAATAGCAAGGGAAGGACTTCAAAGAATCATCAACTGGGACCTCATTTTATTAAAAAAGCTTTTGCACAGCAAAAATAATCACCAACACAGTGAGCAGACAACCCATAGAGTGGGAAAAAATTTTAGCCAACTGTTCCTCAGGAAAAGGACAGAATTCTTTATATGAAATTTTTTATCTAGAACATATAAAGAATTGAAAAAATCAGACCTCCCCCAGATTCAAAGACTCAATCAAAAAACTGGCATCTGAGATGAATATGTACTTCTCAGATGAAGAGTGGCTAATAAACACATGAAAAAATGATCACCATCATTGGTCATTCAAGACATGCAAATTGAAACAACGCTAAGATTCCACCTCATCCCAGGAAGAATGGCTAGCATCAAAAAATCAACCAATAACAAATGCTGGTGGGGCTCTGGGGAAAAAGGAACCCTTCTGCACTTTTGGTGGGAGTACAACCACTGTGGAAATTAGTGTGGAGGTCCCTCAAAAAACTAGGATTAGAGGTCCCTTTCAACCCAGCTATTCCCCTTCTAGAATTAAAAACATCATACCACAGCAGTATACATGCATCCACGTTTATAGCAGCACAATGTATAGTGGCTAAATCTTAGAAACAACCCAAATGGCCATCAACCAAGGAATGGATACAATGGACTACTACTCAGCCATTAAAAGGATCAACTTGAGACTTTCATAGTTAAATGGATGCAACTTGCGACTGTACTAATAAATGAACTAAATAATACTCACTTGTGTAGACATTGTATGGTCTAGTGTGAAAAACTGAAAGAGTAAATAGGGTCTAAAATGTACAATAGATATTGTGAAATAGGAAATCGTCAAAAGGAAAAAGGAACTAGGACAGGTGAAAGTGGAAAGGACAGTAGGGAAAAGGGAAAAATGCCAGTTAGTTATACTATTGGTGTGTCTTAGCTCATTAAAAAGGCTGGTTTGTGCTCATATCAATTGGAAAAATTTTTATGCCCGAGTATCTTGCACCGAGTAACTATTTTAAAGATAACAACATGTAACGTATTAACTTTTGTTATTCTGCTATTATTTTGTTGTGAAATTCCGTTTTATCTTTTTTCCATAAAATAATAAAAGAGAAGAAAGTGATTTTTTAAAGTTAGTCTTACATATTTTTATATTTTATAAAATATACTCTAGTCAGTCTTAAATATTTTTATGTATTTTAAAAACTAAACAATATGTATGTAACAAGGAGTTTGCCCATAATTAGAAAACAGGTGGAGATGAAAATGCACAGAATGTTAAGATCTGGGGCCAAATACATCATTATGCAAAAAGGTATAAGAGAAACACAGATCAAGGATTCAGCAAAGTTTCATCTTTATTTTTAAAAAAGCAGTGCAGACTTTATGCTCAAAGATCACTGTCTGTAGTGCTTCATATAAAAAACAATTTAAAAAACCAGATTAGAACAACAAGCAATTTTATGCTTTAAACTAATTTGTTATTCAGGCATGATGATGTATGCCTAGCCCAGCATTTGAGGCTGAGGCAAGAGGATTCCCTCAAGTTCGAGGCCAATTTGTGCTACATAATGAATTCAAGGACACCCTGACTTACACATCTAGACTCTCAAACAACAAAATAATAATGGTAATAATAATAAGTAAATAAATACACAAAATAATTTGTTATCTTGGGTATCACCGAATAAAGAATTCATAATGGCCATAAAAACAAGGAGCTAGTTTCACTGCCCTTAAATGGTCTGGTATTCCAGCTATAGTTACTATTTCTGTTTAGAAAGTAGAACCCTTTCACCATTTCCAAAACGCACTTTCAGCAACAAATCTGTCTCAGAGACACTGTGCCTTTCTGTGTGCACTTCGTAAATAAGATTCCAGGATAGTTTGCTTCGGAAAACAGGCAATCCCGTTCTTAAACCTCTTCAGTGTTCACTGTAAACTACACTTGTTCTTGGCTAATACACTCCCAGTCAGTCCTGTATTCCATTTATAATAAATTCTTTTTTCACAAATCTTTAGCCTTCTTTTACAGAAAGTTTGTGACTGAATTTTACAAAAATACCAGGCCTTGAAAAGCGATTAGGGTCAGAATCTAATAGTTTGCAGTTACAACATAATTAAATTTTAAAATTTTATTTTAATTTGCTTTCAAGGGTTTTTGATACATTTAAATAATTATACCACTCCACGCACCAGTTTTCCAGTGGACCAGAACGCCATGAATTAAGTTCAAAGAATTAACTGCTTGAAAAACAAAAATCTGCAGTCACAAGTTCCCTGAAAACCACAGAGAAAACTCTCCCGAAACAGTGTCTCATTCCCAGTGACATGGACTCTCCCTTTATCTACTGTTCCAGAAGCTCAGGACTCCTGGCTCGGGTTTCCACTTGTCTTCAGGATCCCTCGGGGAAAGGTGTCCACCACGCTTCGCTTCAGCCTCGGAGAGAGAAGGCAAGCGCAGGAGAGGCCGGGCGGGAGAAACCGAAGGACAGCAGCAGTCAGCGCCGGAGCGGTCCCCAGAGCAGCCGCACGCGGGTCTGAGGCCGCCCGCAGCCCGCCCCAGCCCCAGCCCCGGCCCGCTCTCCTCCCTCCCTCGGCCGGCGCGATGCGGGCGGCGGCCCCACTCCTGCTGCTGCTCCTCGGGGCGGCCCGGGCGGCTGCCTCGCTCTGCGCGCCCACCGTCTTCTACAGGAGCTGCTGGATCCGACGCTTCCCAGGCCTCCTTGTGGACCTGGAGGAGTCTCAGAAACTGGGAGCCCAGTTCTTAAAATACTACTCTGAGAGCACCGGCCAGAAGTGCAGCCGGAGCTGCTGCCTCCGGAAGGACGGTGAGGAGGGTGGCGCGCACGGCGCGCAGGCGGGGGCGCCGCCGGAGAAGGGCCGGCCCGACCTGGGTCGGGAGCGAGGCCGAGGGAGGCCGGAAGGGAGACCTGGGCCCCCCAGGCCTGCAGCTTGGCCCTCAGCGGGCTCCTGGCAGGGCTAGCTGTGCTGGGTTTGCTCAGAGCCTTCAGGAGGCACAATCCTTGTCTTCAAAGCAGTGCTAAATGCCTGGCAAGCGCGAGGTCATGAGTTCGATACCCAGGACCCAAACCAAACCAAGCCAAACAACAAAACAGTGCTAAAGAAAGCGTTTCTTTCCCAGCTAAGTTATATTTTTTAATAACACGAAATGCTATATGTATGATTTCAAAAACGTGGGGTGTATTTAACAAGATCTTAGACTGTTTTGAAAGATACATGTTTTGCTATGTCATACACTTGATCTTAGCCAAAAGGCCAAGAAGTGATTGCTACTTCATATATAAAGTACCAAAAAAGTTTTCATTAATCACGTTTTGAATTTTCCTAATATATTCTTTCCTATAATTTGGCTCTGAGTCTAAACCTTATCCATTTAATATGATTAAGGCCCTCAACTAGGAAAACTTTTCATTGCTGCAGAATTTCACGTTGTAATGGCCTAAAGATTTATGTTTCAATTTTCCCCTTGATTTTTAAGGCAACTTGAAAAGACACAATGAAAACAACACAGCACTTTAAAATAATTGTCTTGGTTGTCTCACGCCTTTTTTTATGATTTGATACCAATTTATCAATCACCAATGCCTCTTATCCAATTACACATTTACAGTTTCTAAGATGAAACTTGGAGTTACTCAGCCAAGGGGGCTGCATGGTGAGGAGCTGTCACAGGCCAAGCGCTCAACAGTTAATTAGGCACAAAGAGGAACTTAATTTTACAACATGGAATCTTTTTGAAAAAATGGTCTATCCAGGTTTCTACTTTCCAGGTGGCTCTAACTCTCACCAGCCTCCACTGAGATGGGTGGTGCAGGAGCAGTACTTTTTCGGAATTTATCAACCTCATCCTGCACAGTGGAGACTATGGTCTGAGGGTTTTCAGGACTGCTGTACACATCTTTAAAAGTTCGGGATCCCTGAGAGACTTTCTTCCTTCACAACAGGAAAGGGCAAGAGAGATGTTCCAATTTTTACCTGGCAGTCAGAATTTTGAAAGGCACAATCCTGCTTAGAGCTGAAACTCTGATATGTGCATGAGGAATTTAAGAAGTCTTTTACAATTGTTCTCTGTATCCCTGGTGCGGCAGTGGATGACTGAAATCCCAAAACAAGGGAGACAAGCAGCAAGACTCTTGAGTTCAAGGCCAACCTGGACTATGTGGTGAAACTCTGTTGCAAAACAAAACAAATTGTTCTCTACAGTATCAACTATTTTTATCATAAATTCAGATATACAGCGTAGCCTCAGAAACCATATTTGTAACCTGTAATATATTAGCAATACTTTTTGTTGTTGTTTTATTTGTATCGTTGAGGTTCAGCCTCTGAGCTATATCCCAGCCATTTTTGTTTTGAGGTCTCATTAAGTTGCCCAGGCCAGGCCAGCCTCAGACTTGCAATTTTTCTGCCTCAGCCTCCTAGGTAGTTGGGACTACAGGTGAGGACCACTACACTTGCAGCACTGTTTTATTAATAACCTTTTGTCCTATTCTTTTTCCTTCTAGAAGAAATTAGTATTTTTTAGAGATAGGGTCTCATTATGTAATTCAGGCTGCCCTTGAACTCACAGTGATCCTTCTGCCTCAACCTCCAAAGGGCTGGGACTACAGGCATGTGCCATCATGCCAGGCCCTCTTTCTGGAAAAAATTTCTGGAAAAATTACGAATACAGAAATGTGAGGTTGCCCCAGAGATGTGCCTCCGTCACCCCAACATGGCACGAGGCAGATTGTGCAGCCTCAGTCCCACAGCCACTGGTCCATGCCCATGGGTCTGGTACCCACTTGGTGCCTCTCTAATCTATTTTATGAAAGGACCTGATACTCTTGGCTTATGGATACACTGCATAGTTCTGACTGGAAGCAGCAAGAGTAAGATTATGTTGCATTTGACTGAAGATTTGCTTCAACAAATTTGACCTCAGATGCTTCAGAAACAACATGCTTTAAGAAGCAAATCTGCTTAGCAAAGGGGAGATAGCATGCACTGTGCGTGTGCTCTGCATGTGATAGCATGCAGTGCTGTGGGCTCCTCATACTAGAATTCCAGGGCCACGTCCTGGGGCAGTGGCTGTATCCCAGCCAGTTTTGTTTGGTTTTGGCAAGTAAAAACTGTTCCTGTCCACCTTCTTCAGTGACCCTGGGCTGCTTGCTGTGGACGTTGTTTTACACACAGGGCCAGTGGACAGGTGTGGGAGGCTGGGCATCTCCCAGGAATGGCTGTTCCTGTTTTTGCTCTCCCCACGCTTTCCCTTTTATTTTATTACAATGCCTATGCTATATTTTCCTGTTTCCTCCTCTGGTGGCTTCAGAACCCTGGCATTCTGAGAGGACATTGCACGAGGAATCTGAGGTATAAGCCCTCAAAGGTTCCTTTAGTCAATTACATTTTTCATGAATGTAAAATACTGGGAGTAGAAAATGATCCCATGTGTGCTCTGTGGAAAAGGATGTACAAAAGATTATTCAGAGAAAATCAGTCCCTGCTTCTTTTCCCTTTGCCCCTGACCTTTCCAGTACTGGGGATTAAACCTTGGCAGCACCGAGCTACACCCCCAGCCCTTTTTAAATTTTATTTTGAGATAAGGTCTCATTAAATTGTTCAGACTGGCCTCAAGCGTATGACCTTCCTGGATAAGCCTCCTAAATTCTGGGATTATGGGCATATGACAGCTTCCAGCAGATGCTTTTTGTTTAAAAATATTCACTTATTATAGTTGACAATGCTTTATAAAACATTTACACACGTCCCTGGATATTAGTGTAAATCCAGTGTTCCTGAAAGAAATGTAAGTTGCTCGGTGTCCACCAGACTGGTGGAACCGGAGGTCACCTAGATGGTCTGTGCCTCTTTTCTTTCCAGTGTCCTGTAACTTGGCTGTCTTCTTCCACGACCCTATTCATGACAATGTCAACTGCCTCCATGTCCACTGCCCAACATTAGAGAGCTGCATACTGGAGCCTGGGAACAGTGCCATTCTGTACAACATCACAGATGGTAAGATGATGTACTCCAGGGCTCCTGAGCAGTGAGTATCCTCTGGTAGAGGATGTAGCCTCGAAACTGGCTGGCAGTAATCCTATTTGTAGTTGTCAGAGCTCTTCCAGTGACCTCTGCTGGGAAATGGTTTAGACATCTACGACAGAAAAGTGAAATGGAATTCCCTTTAGGGTGGCACATTGAGCAGTTCATTTCAGATGACAGCAAGTCAGATGCAACTGAATGAGAGTTTAAGCACTGAATTTCATGAGCACTCAGCAAAAGCCAAAATAGGCATTTTTACGGCAGTGGCCTGGGTGTCACCATAAAATAAAATGCTAAGTGACAGTTTTGAGATTTATGCAGTTTGCATACACAGATTCTGTAACAATGGACATCAAGGATCAGTAAATTTAGCTTGGACACACATCAGCATCTTCCTGGTCCCCAGATAGCCGATGTATTTTATTCTAGGAAAAAAAATACATCTTTAAGAATCTTTTGTTCATGTACACAGGCTTAGAATGCAAATTTGTGACTATAAAAAAAGACTTGCCACCAAAGACAGGAGATAAATTTCTTTACTTATTTGTGTTTGTTGAATATGTAACATCCCAGGCTGGACTTAAAGACTGTAGCCATGTCTTAGCCCTCACATTCCTTATGCCCTCACTGATTTTGTGTCTTATAATTAATGTAAAACATATACATACAAAAATGCATGACAGGCCTTAGTGCAAGTGCAAGCTTCTGGAGGCAACAAAGGCAGAAAGGAAATAGGCGCTGGCATGCTTTCCCAGAGGGAGAAAGACTGACTGACTGCTAGCAGGGGACACTGGAAAGCTCTTCAGTTTTTCTTCCCCAAAACAAAGCAGTTCTGTGGCTTGTCTGATACAAGAAGATAGAAAATACTAAACATGGGCGCTGAGGCAGAAAGATTTTGAGTTGCAGACCAATTAGGGCCAGACAAGTGAGACTCTGTCTCAAAAAAACAAGAATAAGTGTGTTGAAAATATGAGAAAAATACTAAACCGAAGCAAGAATCCTCAGAGATTGGAAAAGGATGAGGTTTACGGCTTTGTTCAAGATTGAACAGTTTTCCTTTTTAGGCTCATTCATTCAACTTTGTTTTAAAATGTTGTACTACATCTTACTTGGATGGTGACTGCTTGTACAGAGCTCACACTGGGCTAGCGGTGCAGAAGTCCTGACACACAGTCTTCTTCTTGGGAGTCAAATTTGTTCACAGCACAAAGTATGCTAGAAATTAGATAAGTTCAAATGTAGCCCATATTTATTCTCTCTCTCCTTTTTCTTTCTGTAGCTTCCAGTATGCTTCTAAGTCTTTCAGAAGTTTACAGTGGTAGAACTTGAATTTAGTTCAATAGCTCAGTGGCAAAACTCAGTGTTCCTCTAAACTGTGCCGAAGGTTTTCCCCTGTGAAATTAACAATAAAAGGAATGCTCTTATTTGTCTTTCAGGTATAGATCCGGATTTGCTGGTTTTTGGACATTCATCTCCTACACAACTGAATACCCATTCTGCATTGGATAGGTGGGACAGACTAAGGATTCTAAAAAGTATGAATTTATATGATCTACAACAAGCTACCAAAATAAACCACATGCTGCCCTCAATAGAGGCTTCATCATCAACTACACCTCAAGATTTGATTGTAAACAGAAATAATACCAGTTCTCTCAAGGAATTAACCACAGATTTGGGGGCAAGGTTCATATCCCTGAATAACTCCATTATCAAGAAGGCGAATATGGTATCACCAAGTGCTGACTTCAACAATCCATTTAACAAGACTATACCTTCTTTCTTTGTGCCCATAGATACAAAATCTCCTCACATGCAGGTTCCCCTCCAACTTAACAGTAGCAAACAATCATTGAACAAAACCAAGGAATAAAACATCAGAAACCACACATGTGAGAATGAGTCACCTGTGACTTCCAAGACCTGGCTGGCTTCTGTGGCCTTATGTACCTGTTGTCTTTCTTTGTTGTTTATTCTTTGCTGTCCAAAGAAATAAGGTCAGTATAAATTAGGACAGAGAAAACCAGGACCCAGGCAGAGTAAAAAAAAAAGTACTGTGAAGAAGAACTCTTAAAACTTACAGTGCGATTGTAAGTTTTCAAGGGTTTCATTTTCAGTTTTCTGTAAGACAAGGCAGTTTGGTTTAAAAATATACAGGATACCTGTTCCTACCAATCTTACAAATGCCAATGCTTAACCATTTTCTGGGATTAGCATTAACCTTTGCCAAGGTTCCAAAATTCAGAGCCTGTCACTGTTACTGAGCACCCTGTGTGTTACAGTTGAGCTGCACTAACTAATTGTAACCTTAGAGCTCTGTGGGTTAGATGTATTATACACTAAGTTAGGTAGAAATATTACAGGAAGCAGAGAGGGCTTTGCTCAAAGGAGTCAAGGCAGAAGGTAACACATAACAATTGTGAGTGGAAGTGTATTTGTTGAAGGCCAGGTCTCAAAACAAAGATGGAATGACTCTACCTACACACTTCCCTCAGGGATAAAGAGTAATGGATATTCAGTCACCAGAGTGGGGGACCAAGACTTCTTTCACCCATCTCTCCAGGCAAGGTCCTTGTTCTTTCCCTATACACTTAGTATGTGACTTGCGTTCCCACCGAATTAGTATTACCTCAGGGACTACATTGGTAATCTTACTGGTTGCTCATAGTTTTGTTCCACCTCGTACTCACTTTACGATTTTGCATCTACCTTGTGATTTTGCTCTCTAAAACTTCCTTTGAAAAGTGGGCATGGGGGGAATCCATTTTTTAGGTCCCCTTCTGTCTCTCTTAGGCAGGAACTGTCTTTCTCTCCATAAAAATTTCCCACTCTTAACTTCCTTTGTTCCTCAGAATTCATTCTTTAGTTTGGGGGAACGTGAACTCAGTGTACCAGACATCAAGCAGGTTGGGAGATGTACTATTTCCCTTTTCTCATTTGGAGATCCTGTATCATGCCTGTTAACAGGAATTACTATTTCATGGTATCAAACTATTACACTCTTAGTCCTGCCTTTTACAGATGAGGACAGTGAGATGAAGAGCAAGTAAACATCTTTGCTAAGGTTACACAGGCAGTAGTGAGGTTAGAACCTGAATGCAGATGATCTAGTTCAAAAGCCCATGTTCAAAATTACTGTTAGACTATGAGCTTCTGCTTTTCCAACTAACATGAAAAAAAGATGCCGGAAGACAATGTTATAACACCATTAGGTGTGTCTTCCAGTCAAGGTCAAATTATTGTCATATGGAGTAATAAAATCTTTTTTGAAAAAAAAGCACTATTATAACTACTAAATCCCTAAACAGATGCTTTTTATGTTTAATTGGTTAATTTTCCTAGTCCCATTCTTCTTATTTTCTAAAGCAGAGGGGTATTTCAATTAATCATGTACTAAGCTCTTTGAAGTTTCTGTTGAATAAAATTTGGGAGATTTTATTTCTTTCACTTGCGCATAGCATTTTCTCACATATAAAAACTGTCTCCAAGTATTTCAGCTCTGTCCTGATCTTACACCAGATTTTATCCTCTAAATCTGATGCTTAAGCCTCTTAAATACAGAATACTATGTTTCAAGGCTGTAATGATCTCTAATTTTAGGCCCTTTACTTCATTTCTGAAAGACAAAAGTAAGCATAAAGAATACACTAATGACAGTGCTATTACAAGATTAATAAAATACTCTGGTTTTCTCAGATGTTAAAATGAACTGTCCAGTGGCTAAAAAGATATTTCTTTCTCCAGCTATTGATACTGGATAGAAAAAAGGTTAGTTATTTTTTAGTATAAAATATATATACAAAATAATTTTTAGTGGAATATCAACCACAAACAAAAGTCTGATGTAAAAATTTTATCAATTTACCTTAACCTGCTGATTGTTCACAATATTAGGTATCATGAATTTTATTAACTTCTTTCCTAATGCATTAGGGGAAACTCTTCTACTGGTATGTGGAGGATATCAACTTTTAAATTATCATAAAATCGTTATTATTTTTTACAGGACAGACTTTCCTTGTTTCCTTGACCAAGTTCCATTCCTGAGGCAAGGCTGTTAAATGAATGAGTCGCTAGTTGAGGAATTATAGATATTAAGTACATTACAGTATTTAGAAAAAGGAAATGGTCAAAGGAAACTCCAATTTGATGACCTTGCTTTTATTTGCGTAACTCTTCCATGCAGTACTTTAGTGTATAACAGAGCATTAAACTACAGCAAAAATTACAGAATTGTATAAACAAGGTATACTGTACCAAGAAAAGAAACTACAAAAATAAAGACATTCAAGCTAACATTTTAGTCATTGAATCCTTTAAAGTCCTCATCAGCGTCATCATCAAAACTATGATCAGGAGATGTAGAAGGCCAAGGTAAGGGGGCTGACAAAGCAGAAATGGAAGCAGTAATAGTAGAGGTCATGGGTATAGCTTTCAAGAACTACAGAATGTTTTGTTGCTTTCTTTTCTGCTTATAAACTCATGGTTTTTCTCTGTATGCTGATAACCAAGTTTGCCTTTGTCTAGCGCTGGGATGGTGGTGTGAATGCTATACCTGCCCAGGGGCGGGTAGCCAGCCTATAATCTAGGGGAGGGCAAGAGGTATGCTCTTCTTCCCTTCTTACTCTTGTCACTTGCAACAGCCAGGAAAGGCTGCCCCTTAGTCACACCACCCTGCCTTGGAGCCAGCTGAATATGGATTGAGATCTCCACAAACTGTAAGCTAAATAAACCTTTCCTCCCCTTTTATTTTGGGCATCAGCTATTTTGTCCCAGCAACAAGAAAAAAGCAATGAAGACAAGCCTTGTTTCTGTTTTCCTTTTCTCCAAACAAGTGCTTAAATGTATCAGAGAGAGAGAGAGAGAGAGAGAGAGAGAGTGTGTGTGTGTGTGTGTGTGTGTGTGTGTTTAGTACTGGGGATTGAAACCAGGGCCCTCACACTAAGCCATATTCCCTGCCCATTTTTTAAAATTTGGAAAGGTCTTTTTTTGTTGAGAGGATCTTGTTTAGGCTAGCATTATTCTCCTGCTTCAGCTTCCCCAGTGCTTGGCAGTGCCACCACATCCAGCCAACAGGGACTTGCTAAATTACCCAAGTGGATGGGACTTGCAATATCCACATCAATCTTCCAGACTGCTGGATTTCTTAAAGTATACTTTAAACATGATTTAAAAGCATTTAAAGACAGGTATAGTGGTGCCCGACTGTAAACTCAGCACTTGGGAGGCGAAGGTTGGAGAATCACTGCAAACTGGAGAACAGCCTGGGCTACCAAGTGGGTGGGTAGCTAGCCTGATACGGTATATTTCTCCTATATAACCTACACTATGGGCTTTTAGTTATAGCAGATCATACTTTGTGTGTATGTATGTGGTATTGGGAACTGAACCCAGGGCTTTAACACTAACCTGCATCCTCACTCCTTTTTAAAATTATTTTTCTAAATTTTGAGACAGGGTCTTGCTAAGTCACCAAGTTGCTCATGATTCTCCTGCTTCAGCCTCCTGGAGTGCTGGGATTACTGGTGTATACTAGCATGGTTGGCCCATACTTTCATTTTATAAAATGCTTTAATACAACTGACTTGGAATTCCTTTTGACTTGCATTGATATTCTTTACTTTTGTATGGCAAAATACCTCTATTAGGTAAATGAACACTCAATACCTTTACTATGATTTTAAATGAATCACCTGTCAATACATTGTAAGTGGTAAGAAATGACTTGCAGATACACTTAAAAACACTGGGTTGGAGTGTACCTCATTAGTAGTGCACTTATTCAGCACGTAAAAAAAAGGAAGAAAAAAAAGAACTGGAGATGTGGGTACTGCTCAGTGGCAATATGTGTTTAGCAGTAGTGACACCTTGAGTTCAATCCCCAACAGCAAAACAAAAAGCAAACTCTTTTTTTTTTTTTGGTACTGGGGAGCAAACTCATGACCTCAAAAAGAAAACATTGAATTGGTAGCTATCTTGAACAGAATGTTTCTCTGGGAGATTTTCATTTTGTCATTTGTCCCAATTAAGTCCAAGGTCCTTATAACTCATCTTTCATGTTCTAACTGGGGCATCAACAGGGGTTATCTCCTTTTATGTTCTAACTGGGGCATCAACAGCTTTTCTCCAACTGTACTCTTCTGCCAGCTTGGGCCTGGCAGAATGAGCTCCGGAAGAAAGGAAATGGGACCCCAACCAGAGCTGAGTTGGCAGAAAGTGCCCTCGAAGGGATGGTGGAACGGACTCTCCTGACTGCTGCGTAAGATAGAGTGCACAGAAAGCAGGTCAGGGGGTGAAGCTACACTGAATGTCAGGGGCTGGGTCCTTGGCCTATTTCTAAATAACTGAACACACTATTCAAAAGCAACCACTAAAAGCCAGTCTGTGGTGAAAAAAATGTGGACAGTGACAAGATCAAATTAAACACATGTAAATATATATTAAAATTGTTATGTAGAAATAACATCAGGACACTTTAGAACCTGTGAAATCTTAAAGATCTTCTAACTAGTCTAACAGTCTCAATGTATAAATCAGAAACTTCTGAAACAGTCATTGTATATCAGTGTAATTACAGATAACTTCAAAATTAACTCTTCAGTAACAACTGGTCTTTAAACATTCCAACTTCTACATCAGATCAGGTATTGACTGAATGTACTGTAAAACAAAGTGGATCCTTCCACTTCATAGCTCCTGTGAAATTTTTAATAGTCTCTTCACTGACTCTTTGTACTGAGAAAGGGTGATTTCATTTTCCCCCTCATTTTTAAGACTAGTAAGAGACTTCTGGTAATCTTCAACTTCTTTAGTACCCAGCAGCTCTTCTTTATTTACTTGCATTTTGTTCTCAGCAGCGTTAATCTGGAGAAGTGTTTCCAGGGTACGTTTTTCTGAGGAGCTATTTTTCCATATATATTCTTCCATGTCTGCTTCAGTCTTATTTTTTTCCCATTCTTCAGTTTTCTGAAAAGAAAAAAGAAATATTTGAATTCTTACAAGTATTATCAAAGATAAAAGTACTTCTGTTTGTCTACTTATTTTAGGTAAATACAAGTTTGCCAAATGTGGACAGCTCTTGGTCAGCATTTGCTGCATTCTGCCTGACCCCTTATCCAGCAATGCTGTCCCCAGGCCAACTGCCCAGCTGTCCGGGGTTCAGTGAACACCAGCCAGACAAGTTCCATTACCACTCACCGAGCTGGAAAAGTGGCTTTCCATATGCTGAAGACTAACCTATGCATTAACCTAAAACTGAAATGATCAAAGGTCTAACTATTCAAACAGAAACACTAAATATATTGGAAGAGAAAGCAGGTTGAACTCTTGCAGATACAGGTATAGGCAACAACTCTTATGAACAAAACCCAAATCACACAGGAAATATTAAAAAGCATCAACAACTGCAATCTCATGTGATGCCCCCCTCCCTTACCTAATTAAACACCTTTTTCACAGCAACAGAAATCACCAATAGAGAGAGAAAACATTTGTCAGTTTGCACATATGAAAAAGTGAAAAAAAAAAAAAATCAGAGCCCCTAAATGGAAAGACCCAATCCAAAAATGGGCATCTGAAATGAACATTTGTCAGATGAAGAAGTAGGAATGGCAAATAAATACAGGAAAAAATGTTCAACATCACTGATCATTCTAGAGATGCAAATTAAAACAACACTGAGATTTCATCTCACTCCAGGAAGAATGGCTATATCAAAAATCAACCAGTAACAAACGCTGGTGGGGCTGTGGGAGAAAAGGAACCCTTCTCCACTGCTGGTGGGAGTAGACTGCTACAACACAGAAATGGTATTTTTAGCAAACATTCAGCGGATGTAGTGGAATACATAGAGTAACCCCAGCACTCTGGGGAGCTGGGGCAGGATTGCATGTCTGATCTCAGTCTGGGCCATTTATCAAAACCCTGTCTCAAAAAACAAGCAAACAAAAAGCTGGGAAGTTAGCTCAGTACAAAGGCCAGGGCTCAATCTCCAGAATTTGCAGAATGGGGAAGAAGACATCAAATGATCAGCTAGAAAAACATAATATCTGAAATTAAATCAATAGGGATCCCTGAAAATGGCGGCTGGCTAGGGGATCGAGCGAAGAGTCTCTCCGGAGAATTCACACTAGAAGCTAAAAGAAGACAACACGGAGAGGGCCAGACAAATCGATAGCGATTCTTATTAACCAAGACAGTACAGCTGGAGGATTTAAAGTCGTGCTGAGACCTTGAACGCTGATAAGGGGAGGCTGCAAATCCCGCGCCTTTAAATCAACAAGCTGACCCGTGGACCCAGCAGGAAAAGCTGAGTTGCATTTGGGGACTGCGGGAAACTGAGACCTGGGCCGGGAATCCAAGTAGCAGCCAAGTCTGCACCGCTGCACCAGAGCGGATGTACAAAGCTCGGGCGTTTCAAATTTAAACGGTGCACAGATATCTGACCGGTCAGCGCTGTGCCGGGAGCGCACGTTGTGCACTCCCCAGCGCTGTCCCGGTAGTGCGGGAAAAGTGGGCAGCTTGGTGTGCGGTGGTCCCGGAATGAGGACTTGCACCAGACTCTGGTGAGTACCGGGAACCCCACGGATGCTGGGGTTGGCCAGAGAACAGCTGGCCCGCCACCACGGGGAAATCAATAACACAGAGTCTGGTGCAGACATATTAGCCTGGTGGCAGAAACTGCAGCGTGGTGACATCACCAGGTCCCCCTGAGGGGAGGGTTGGTGGAAGACATCTTGAATCCTGGCAGAGCCTGATTACTTGCTGGCTTCAGCTCCACACAGAGAACTTAGTGGGAGACATCTTAGTTTTGGGCGGATCTGCTATTCTGGTGCTCGCGTCACAGAGAGGTTTGGAAGAGAACGGCTGGGATTTGGGCAGAAACCTGTGCCATAGTGACATTACTCAGCTGCTTCTGGTACAAAGAGAATTGGCAGGAGCTCCTGGGGCTAAACCAAGCCTCTGCTTGGGGCCCAATAAGCGGATACAAAATAGCCACAACTCAGTGACAACCAGAAAGTACAGCCTAATTTATGAACTAACTGACACAGAGGCTAGAGACTAGCCTGTACCGCCCCTACATCCCAGCCTACCCCAGATAACAGTAAATTGGGGAGGACAGCAAAAACTCAAGCCAGCATGCTTCTGAAAGGCCCTAAGCAATTCGGAGAGGGCCAGAGAACTCCAGCACAGTCTGAAAGAAACCAAAAACATGACAAGAGATAAAAATTTAAAAAAATCTTCAGCTGCTCAACAGGAGAAAACAAGCCCAGGAGAACTAAACACTGAAGACAACAAGCACAGTAATCATCCTCTACTCGACACAGCATCAGCCGAAATTAAAAAGTACCTACATGATCTCATAGAGGAATTTAAAGCTGTACTCCTGATCCAAGTAAGGCAAGATATAAAGAGATTAATTAAAGAAATCACAAGCCCCGCCCAAGAGAACACAGATAGAAGAACTGAGGAAATCAGAAAAGAAACAGAAGCATCTGAAGAAGAATTTAAGCATAACTTAGAATACATGAAACAGATCCAAAGAGAATATCAGGAAACTAAAAATTCCATTGAATATTGGCAAAATGCCTTGACAGAAACTAAAGACAGCCTTCTGAAACTTGAAGAGAGATTTAGGGCATATGAACGTGAAAGAAAAAGCCTCTTAAAAATAACAAGGAACCAGAAAGAAGCAATTCTAAAACTGGAAGATGACAAGAAGATACATAACCTAAGAATAAAGAATGTGAGTGAGGAAGCAGGAACATCCAAAAATGAAATACAAAAAATATTCACAGATATATTAAAGCAAAATTTCCCATGTATAGCAAAAAGAAATGATATCCAGATAAAAGAAGCATACAGAACGCCAGCTACCTACAACCAAAACAGATCTACGCCTAGACATATAATAATCGAGATCCCAGAAATCCACCAAAAAAACAGAATATTAAAAGCAGCCAGAGAAAAGATGCAGGTTACCTATAACGGGAAATCTATCAAAATAACAGCAGACTTATCAACACAAACTCTTAAGTCAAGAAGGGAGTGGGGAGAAATATTCCAAGTCCTGAAGGAAAAAAATATGCAACCAAAGTTCATATATCCATCAAAACTCTCTCTAAAAATTAATGAAGAAATAAGATACTTTCAAGACAAGGAGGAACTATGGGAGTTCGTGGCCACCAATCCAACCCTACAGAGAGCGCTGAAGGACATTACAGAGAAAGAGAGGAAGAGATATCAGGATTCCAGCTACAGTGGCAGAGAGGCCTCAGTGAACGGGGCAGACAATGGAATGAGGGAATAAGGTGGACAAATTATAGCAGAAAAGTGGAGTAGCAGACATGAGGCAGAGACGGTAAGCTAGTCTTTAGTATAGACAGCTCTGAAACTATATTAAAAAAAAAAAGCAGAGGTCATTGCTAATGGTGTATAACGATTTAAAAGACACAGCAGTCCTAGTGGCATATTTAGATTGAATTTAATTTGTTCTGGTCTGTCCACTCATGTCAGATTTGAAGACACAGACCTCTAGAACCAAAAATAGCAGGTTATACCATGGTAACTATCCTTACTTTCCTACTGACTTAGGCTGAAATCCTGTATTACTTACATTGTCTTACTATGACTGATCTTAATTGTATCTGAATCATAAGACTATTGGTTGGCCTTGAATGATTCTATTTGAAATTGGTATGCTTGTTAGAATCAACCCTAAAAGTAGAGGAAACTACTCTGAGCATGACAAGATGTAAAGGATATCCATACTGGTATGAATCAGTAACAGCTCTCAAATACTACAATGCAGTCAAAGTTAAGTTTTTATAAAAATAGGTGATAGTATGTTTAACTATAATAAGCCAGTGTTGTGGACAAATCTATTGAAAATAACAAGAGAAAACATAGTAGCTACGGAAGATCATGTATACTGCAGTTTTATATGTCTTATCCATTGCATGTTTTTCTAGGAAATTATTTTGCTGTCTAGTTATGACTTGGTTTTCCCTATAATACAGAGAGGATAGATATATAGGTAGAAATTCACACATGGTTTTGTTTTTTTTTTTCTTAAATTATTTACGGGAACAGATTATATAATACAAGATGTAAGGAACAAATACTCTGAGGAAGAGGCACTGAGAAACCCGAGGCTTATTTTGTAGCATTATAATATAAATTCTAGCAATCTATTGTTTGCTGATTAGAATGACATTAATCTGGTTTCTTCAGTTCAACTTCAGCATATGCAGAGATGGGGACGGCTATCACAAAGAGAACGAGAGATGCGATGGTAGTTGCTATTGTCTTCCCTAATTTGGAACTTGAGGACCTAAAAAGACTTCATCATCCTGTAATGATTTGATTAGTTCTATAATATGCAATAAGTATATAAAGTGGGTGAAGATAGGGACAACTATTTGTAAGAAGCTAGAGACAGTTAGATAATGAAGATCTCCAGTGGACTTGCTTTGAAACCTGTATTTTTTTAAATTGTTTTTTATTTTTATTTTTTTAAATGTTCTGTTCTGTTTTGATATGGTTAATCTTACCCTCTTTGAGATGTAAAACAAATGTGTAGGACTGATAATCATATTACGGAGCTTTTGTTCGATCATAGAGCAGAATGGTCTGTAGGGTCACTTTTTTGAATGTCATTCTAAATACTTTAATTCTACAACCTGAACAGCTATTTCGAAGATGACAACTTGTAACTTATCAACCGGCAATTTCTTACCTTTTATCTGTAATTTTGTATTATTTCTAACCTTTTTTTTTTTATCATCTCCATGTATTTTTTGTTTCCTTTTCTTTAAATTTAAAAAAAAAATGAAATTAAATCAATAAAAAGCAGTCTGGATATAGCAGAAAGCAGGATAAGTGCCCAGGGTTTAGCTCAGAGGCGTAAGTACCTGTCTGGGAATCAGTTCAATCCCTGGTACCAAAAGAAAAAAAAAAGCAGGATA